TTTTTTTTTTTTTTTTACTTTTTGGTAATTGGAACAAATTCTAGACGCAATGGTAGAAAAAATGATCACTTTAATGGACAATTTTCATAAAAAGTGAAGTCAAACGGATACCAAACTTTCAACATTTTTCAAGTGGAAAATTATACCAATCAAACACAATTAATTACAATTCCCAGTAAAACAATTTCTAGGTAATTCAATTCCAATAAAACATTTTATTTCCACATTTGCAATCAAACAGACCCTAAGAATTCACGGAGAGAATCACTCCAAAGAACACATATAGAAGATGAACAAAATGAGAGAAAGCTGCTAGGGTTTCGGAATGCAACCCTAAAATCATAAGCCATCTATTTATATGAAACAGAGCCAATTATATCATCCAACAGTGCAAAAAAAGCCACATGTCGTCATCCAACAAAGGCACATTTTCAATTAAAAAAGCGTGTTTACCATAATTCCAGATCCTTCACCTTACTGGACCATTATTTTGGACCATCAACTTGGGCAAAAATGACAACAGAACCGGTAGCAGATAGGATAAATGTTTGGGCCTCTCAAAATTCAGCAACCCAATTTCTACATTCTCCACCTTTGCTACATTCTGTACTTAAGTGGATTCCAACTTAATAACCTTAACTTCATGCGTTCTTGTTACCTGTTCACAAAGAAAAGAAAAAATAGCAAACTTTAAGATTCAATAATCTCAAAGAGTCAGTGAATTTACTGAGTGGTATTACCTTTGTACCTGCATCAGCAAGATTTACATTAGTATGAATTTTGATCAACTTAATATTACCCCTATCATTATATCTCTAATAAAATGAAATTTAACATCTATATGCTTAGATCGATCATGAAAAATTGGATTTTTACTTAAGAAAATGACACTTTGATTGTCTGAACATAGCTTCACCTGATTTTCTATAAGTCCTAATTCATTTAACAAGCTTTTCAGCCATAGACCTTCTTTTACCGCTTTAGTTACAACTATATATTCAGCCTCGATTGAAGATAAAACAAATAGTTTTAGAAGTTGAGCTTTCCCGCTAATGCATTTATTATTTATCACATAGAAATATGGAGTTGTAGACTTTCTATTGTCTAAATTTCCAGCAAAATCAGAACCAACGCAGCCTTTCAATTTAAGATCATCTTTATCAATTTTAAACATAAGTCCTAATTGACTTGTACCTTTCAAGTATTTGATCAAATTTTTTATAGCTTCCTAATGAAACTCACCTAGATTACTCCTGAATCTACTTAACACTCTTACAACATAAGCTATATCAGGTCTAGAGCACACCATTACTTTACATGACAGATCCAACAACATTAGCATATGGTGCATTCATCATTCTTTTAAAATCATCTTCAATTTTAGGTGATTGATCAACAGATAATTTCACACAAGCAAACAAAGGTAAACTAACAAGCTTAGCATCACGAGGAAAAAATCTCTTAACCACCTTTCAATATAAGATTTTTGTGTTAAAAATAGTTTTCCACTAATTCCATCCCTTTTTATTTCCATGTCTAAAATCTTCCTAGCAGGTCCCAAATCCTTAATTTCAAATTCAGATTTCAACTTTTGTTTTATAAAGTTGAGAATAACATAATTATGACTAGCAAGTAATATATCATTAACATATAAGAGAAGATAGAAAAATTCAGATTCTCCACCCCTTTTGAAATAAAAATAGGAATTATATTCAGATTTCTTGAACTTCAGACCTTGTATAAAAGAGTTAAATCTTGCATACCATTACCTTGGGGCCTATTTTAGGACATACATGGATTTATTCAGAAGACACACCAAGTTCTCATTTTTCTTTACTTTGAAGCCTTTAGGCTGAGTATATATATGGTTTCATCTAAAGAACCATATAAAAAAACAGTCTTCACATCAAGTTATTCTAACTCTAAATCAAATTAAGTTACAATGACAATCAATACTCTAATAGAGGTGCATTTCACAACAGGTGAAAAATTTTCATTATAGTCCATTCCCTGTGTTTGTGTAAAGCCTTTTGCTACAAATATTGCCTTATATCTTTTATCATTTGATTTTAACTCACTCCTTAATTTTGTAAACCCATTTGCAGTCAACCAGTTTGTAGTCTTTGGGTTTTTCTACCAAAGTACGTAAAATTATTATATGTTGGATTTTGATACCTAATAAATTCCTGGACAATAATTTAAAATAGATGTCGAATAATTTATCGGATATGTTTCTTCCCAACCGTGTGTGTGAGCAATAGACGAGAAAAAACAGAGAGAGGCAGCCTAGAGTTTGAAGGTTCTTATGTGAGATTCAAACATTGCTTTCTTCCTTTTTCTTCCTCTATGTGGTATTGCAAACCACCACCATAGTGTTGTCCTTTGTGGGGGTAAAAAGAGAAGACTTTGTGCAACCAAAGTGTTTGAGAGTTTTGGGTCGAGCTTGAGATTGGTTGTATTCGTTTGGTTGGTTTTTCTGATCCCGAATCAAGTTTTTTCTAGAATTTTAACAACATTACAATTGAACAATTAAGTAATATCATTAACATCCATATTCTCTAGTAAGAAAATCCTTCTACCACATTGGAAGATGACATTAATCGACGTTAGTGACCAAATTGAAACAAAACCAAACATTAGTGTGAGTTTGGAAGTCGGGTGACCTCTAATGTTGTTTTCCCCCAAAAAAAATTCCAAAATGTAATAAATATTTTGGGGCTCAAAGTTAATAAAATCCAAAAGAAAAAAAATATAATAACTACAATAGTTTAACAATAGAATTTTAAATTTAATCACCTTATAAAAAAATTTCAAACACCAGGATGTTTTTGACCGTAACCTCGGATAAATGTTGTGACCTATAAATTTCAATTAAAACGTGCCAAAATCATATACCGCACAATTTATGGGTCGCAATCACATACTAAGTCATAAATTACACAATGTCCTAATTACATTCCATATAATTTTTGGATTACGATCACATACTAAGTCACATATCACACAATTTATAAGTCACAATCATTTATCAAAAATAGTTCAAAGTCAAATATTATCTAATTGTGTGAATGTGACAAGTTACCAGCGGTACCCACGGGTCTACATTCATTGATGATAACATTGAGGGTGAGCTGAATCTAACGATGATGAGTTCAACTGGTTGGATGTAAAACCACATTACAGTAAATCTACCTCGATTGTGGCCTCATGTGGAGTAGATGGGTGCACCTTCAATGATAGATCTAGCCATCACCATCACCATCACCTCCAATAATCAAAGGTATGCTGGCAATTGTCGTTGAAGAAGTCATCGAAGTTGCAACCAAGATTTCGCGGCATATAAATGTGCAATTTGATACAATTTTCTTTCCAATTCTAGCACCTCTAGTTTTTTTTTTCTCCCTGAATTGCAATCCATGTGTGCGTGCATTTACGAGATCTGAGACAATTTGTATGTCAATCACTCGTTAGATTTTTTTATCACTCTGAACCCTCGTCAATGAATAGAACCGCCACTCCCCTTTATTCCCTTCCTAAATCTGCCACCATTACAAACGTCGATATTAAACTCAAAGAGTACACGATGGCAGATTTTTGGTCCTTGGGAGATTTTTGGCTAATTGGTGGCACTGTGTTAATGACGTGCAAAAGCTGAGCTCGGTGTGAGAAGAATCCATCGCCTTGTTAATATATATGTATACACATATGCCGTATAGAGATCGATGGGGTTGAGAGCGTTGTAGGGTAATGGAAATTGCTTTTTATATATTATCATTTATAAATTCTTTTATAGATTGATGTGAGACGATAAATTAAATTAAAATTATAAAAATCTCTTCATCGCTTAAATGATTTTGCCTATGTAATGTAGGTTAATGACAATAAGAAATTGAAAAATTTTCTCGTCAAAATATATTTATCTCTTATTTTCAATCATACATTATTCAATAAAATAATATTATACCCAAATCCAATATTTTTCCTTATTTTTTTAACCGTACATTCTCAATCAAAATAATATTTCAAAATGTATTTTGATAAAAAAGGGGGTTCAAAGAGACTCTAATTAATATTTGATTAATAAGCCATGTTTGACGGGGTATTAAAATCAAAATTTTAGTAGATTTTATTAAAAAATTGATGAATTTTACGATTGAAAAATTATGAATTCCACGAATTATATAATTAAAATATTATTGTTGATTTTAGTTTTAATTAAAATCTAGACATTGGTTAAGCCCTTGTTTTGAACCCAATTTTGGCGAAAAAATACATTTTAAAGTAATGATTTTTTTTTAGAATGTATGGGTAAGAAATAAGAAAAAAATTCGATTTATGTGTAAAGTTATTTTATTGAAAAAATGTATCACTTAAAAATGAATTTTGAAAAAATAGCCAAAAAAATACTAAGGGCCCGTTTGATTCAAAGATGAAATTTGGGTTGAAAGAAAACGAATTGCAGGGAATTGAATTACCTATTTATTTTATTGAGAATTGTCAATTAATTGTGTTTGATTGGTATAATTTTTCACCTAAAAAATGTTGAAATTTTCTATCTTTTGGTGTTCGTTTGACTTTGTTTTTCATGAAAATTGTCAATTAAATGTATATAATTTCTTACAATTTGGGATATAATTTGTTTGGATGGCAAAAAAAATTGAAAAATTTTTGGCGTTCGTTTAGTTTTGTTTTCAATGGAAATTATCAATTAAAGGGATAATTTTTTTTACAATTGGGGATTAAATTTGTTTCTATTGTCAAAAAATAAAGGTGGAAAACCAATTCCAGGGAAAAAAAAGTGTCATCAAACGTGGCAAAAGTAGGANCAGGGAAAAAAAAGTGTCATCAAACGTGGCAAAAGTAGGAAATGAAATTTCAATTTTGATGGCAAAAGTAGGAAATATAATTTCAATTCCAACTTTGAAAAATAAGGACATCAAACAGGCCCTAATTAAAACTCGAAAAATACGATTTAAAGTAATTTTTTTCAAATCAAAATAACATATAAAACCCAATCTATCAAATCCCCCTCTCTCCGATTTCACATTTTCTAGGGCTCTCTCTTACACACTACACAACCAAATGCTCTCAAGCAGTAACTAATCTATATTCCAATCGAGTTTCTTACGAGGGAGGGAAGAAATACTTGTCAAATCGCCATGCCTCGTAGGCAATACGATGATGATGACGAACTGGAGCCAGAGGAGGAAGAAGATTACGAGGCAGTGGACGAGGAAGAGGAGGAAGATGAGGAGTACCATGGCGGCGGGAAGGCCGGGAGGAAACGGACGAGATCGGATTTCATAGACGATTTGGCGGAGGAGGACGATGAGGAAGAGGAGGAAGATGATGATGAAGAGTATGGCGGCGGCGGCGGCGGTCACGGTGGTAAGCGGCAAAAAAATCGAGGGCTGTCGAACTTCTTTGACGAGGAAGCACAGGTGGACAGTGACGAAGATGAGGAAGAAGAGGAAGGCGAAGATGGTTAGGGTTTTTTTTCCTTTTGGCTGCTTTGGTTTTATTTTATGTTATCGATTACTTAAGTTATTGGTTTTTAGTATTATAACCTGTTGAAAATTTTCGTTTGAGGTGAAAGTTCTGTGATTTGAGGTGAATGAGGCAAACCTATAAATTTTTATTATCAATTTGAAAAATGGAAAAAGGAGAAAGAATTGAAAATTCTTACAAAAGGAGGAGCAATTACGCACAAGCTTCATGTTATTATAGTTGTTGTGGATGAAACTCGTGGAAAATTTTGTTCTGTGAATAGGTTTAAGTTCTTGTCAACGGAAATTTGAGTTGAGAATTGGTTCCGTAGCTTTTTAATGTTAGAGAAGTGAATTAATTCTAGATATTTATATGATAATATTTCTGAGAGTAGCCTAATTTCATTGAACGTAGTAATTCTTTGTAAATGCAACCCTGCCTTTTGGTGCAGTACGTCAAGTTGTGAAGATATGCATTTTAGCCTGTCAATTTTTTTGGGAACAGTGAAGAATGTGGTGTTTCCCAAATTTATCCATTTGTGTATGTACATACATATGAAATTAAAAACACTCATTCCCCCTTTAGAGAATACTGAAGTTTTCTGTATGAAAAATGGTAAGATACCTGTAAGGTTTTGACAATGTTGTCCTGCTAATGCAAATCTTTGGCAACTTTCAAAATGATTTGTGGTCTACTATGTGGTGATGGTTGTTTTGGGTCCCAGTCATTTCCTAACTATTCTAGTTATCCACTATGATGAACTTTGTTATAGGAGTAGGTTTCTTAGTTTGAATAAATCAGTCATTTGTCAGTAGTGAATTGGAATCATTGTTATTCTTTCTGCATTCTCCTATTGTTTCACTATGACAGGACACTGAGTTGACCTTGTTTTATTCTGTCGGATTTACAATTTTACCCGTTGGTGATGATGATTTAAAATACTTGATATACAGACTTCATTGATACTGGAGCCGATATACCTGATGAAGATGATAGACGGATTCATCATCGGCCCCTCCTTCCACGTGAGGATGAGCAAGAAGACATTGAAGATTTACAGAGAAGGATACAACAGAGATATGCTAGGAGTCATGATGTAGAGTACGATGAGGAGGCGACTGATGTAGAGCAACAAGCTCTTTTGCCATCTGTTAGGGACCCAAAATTGTGGATGGTGAAATGTGCGGTATGTTAATACCAGGCCTTAGAATATTCTTGGAAGAAGAGCGAAAACTACTTTAGAGTTTTTAGCTTCTCGTTATCATACCTGTCTTTGTTTTGTAGATTGGCCGTGAAAGGGAGGTGGCGGTTTGCCTAATGCAGAAGTGCATTGATAAGGGACCTGAAATGCAGATTAGATCAGCTATAGCACTTGATCATTTAAAAAACTATATATATATTGAAGCAGACAAAGAGGCCCATGTGAGGGAGGTATGTTTCTGCCAATTGATGCTTGGATTGTTAGAATACTAATGTACTTTGAAGAAGATTCAAGTTTTTGAGTGGTTAACAAAATGTAATGAATTCTCTCCTTTGATTTTACTTCAGGCTGTCAAGGGTATGCGTAATATATATCCCAGTAAAGTAATGCTCGTTCCAATCAAGGAGATGACTGATGTTCTTTCAGTTGAGAGCAAAGCTATTGATGTTTCCAGAGATACTTGGGTTAGAATGAAGATTGGAACTTATAAAGGGGATCTTGCAAAGGTAATTATTTCCTCACTATATCCCCTTCCCATTTTATTATCTTTGTCGTTGTGGTGTTCTGTTTCAGCTTTCCTATTGACGCCCTATTTCTTTGTTGTAAGGTTGTGGATGTTGATAATGTGCGACAGAGAGTTACTGTGAAATTAATTCCAAGGATTGACTTGCAGGCTCTGGCTAACAAATTGGTTAGTATTTTTATATTATTGTGCTATTAATTATTTTTCGGTGTACTCCAAGTCTCCAATCTCTGGTTGTTATTTAAGAGTTCGCCAGAATTGCACCTTTATATGTTCCCATTTTTGGTGACAATCTACACTAATGTTGTTTCAGGAAGGGAGGGAAGTTCCAAAGAAAAAGGCCTTCACTCCTCCTGCACGCTTTATGAATGTTGATGAAGCTAGGTAATCTTGTTAAATTGAATGCTTTGAATCAAATTTGCTATTTACCTTATTTAACACAATTTATTATATTTTTCCTTTTGTCCAGAGAATTGCACATTCGTGTTGAGCGTAGACGAGATCCAGCTACTGGTGATTACTATGAAAACATTGGGGGCATGATGTTCAAGGATGGTTTCCTATACAAAACGGTGTCGATGAAGTCAATAAGCACTCTGAATGTACAGCCTACTTTTGATGAACTTGAGAAATTTAGGCAGCCTGATGAAACAGGGGATGGTGATGTGTCTAGTCTATCAACCCTGTTTGCAAATAGGAAAAAAGGTCATTTCATGAAGGGCGACAGGGTAATTGTCGTCAAGGGAGACCTGAAAAATCTAAAGGGTTCAGTGGAGAAGGTGGAGGAAGATACTGTACATATCAAACCCCATGAGAAAGGCCTTCCCGTAAGTGGAGATTTCTCTATTATATATCATGTGCACATGGATGGAGCTCCTATTCTTTTTTAAGAGGCTAATTATAGTTCTCCTGTTAATTTACAATATCTTTTGCAGAAAACTTTAGCTATTAGCGACAGGGAGCTCTGCAAATACTTCGACCCTGGAAATCATGTGAAAGTTGTGTCTGGAGCTACTGAGGGTGCAACTGGAATGGTGGTGTCAGTTGAGGGGCACGTTGTAAATATAGTGTCAGACACTACAAAAGATCTTGTATATCATCAATGCATATGCAATTTTTACGTCAATCTTGCGATCTAAAAGCTGATTTAATGATTAATTTCTGTTTCTAACGTATTCAGCTACGTGTATTCGCTGACAATGTCGTGGAGAGCTCTGAGGTAACATCTGGTATCACGCGAATTGGAGATTACGAGCTTCATGACCTTGTTTTGATGGAGTAAGATTTTATATTCATTAGGCATATATTATTGTCATAAGCATTAGTGTGAATAATATTTACTGAGTTAAACTGTTATCAATTTTTTTGTGCAGTGATAATAGTTTTGGTGTGATTATACGTGTGGAGAGTGAAGCTTTTCAGGTGAGCAGCATGAATTTATAGTCCCAAGTGATTGTGCAATATTATCGTGCTGAAAATGTTTTATTATTAATTAGGTCCTTAAGGGGGTCCCAGAGAGGCCAGATGTCGCACTTGTGAGGCTAAGGGAGATCAAATACAAGATTGACAAGAAACTTTTTGCAAAAGATCGGTACAAAAACACATTATCAGTGAAAGATGTGGTGAAAATTTTGGATGGTCCATGCAGGGTCTGGTCTCACCTCTTCTTATCGTCCATGTTCTACTATTGGATTGGGTTATCAATTTTCTGATTTGTGTTCGTCATTCCTATTTTTGTCTTGCTGTAGGGGAAACAAGGTCCTGTTGAGCATATCTACAAAGGAATTTTGTTTATTTATGATCGACATCACCTTGAACATGCTGGCTTCATATGTGCTAAATCCGAATCTTGTATGATGGTTGGTGGATCACGTGCAAATGGAGATAGGAATGTAAAGAATCTTATGACTTGACTGTTTCAGTTGTTACTAAATTAAGGTTAATATACTTAGTTATGTTTATCCAAATTGCCATTGCTGTAGGGCAACTCGCTCGCGTCAAGATTTAACCATCTCAGAACCCCACCGCGTGCTCCCCAATCTCCAATGAGAACGCCTAGAGGCGGTCCTATAAATTGTGAGTCGCAAATGTTAAAGGGCTTCATCATACTCGAGTCTTGCTCTTTTCCCCCTCTGTTTGTGCTGCCCAACTTGAAAGGCTTCTTGATCTGTACTGATGTCATGTGTTGAACCACATATCTTTTTCCTTCAGTGCTACTTAAGTTTTGTCATCATCATCTTCTTCTTCCTTAGTGCCCTGTCTTTTCTCTTCACGAGTTCTCTCTTTTAACTGTTATTGCATTTGATAGCGGGCGGAAGGCATAGAGGTGGACGAGGACATGATCCTTTAGTGGGGACTGCAATAAAAATTCGACTGGGCCATTACAAGGGATGCAAGGGCCGTGTTGTGGATGTTAAAGGTTCCTCTGTTCGGGTTGAATTGGAGTCGCAGATGAAGATTGTTACAGGCAAGGTTCTTTTGTTCTGACGATTATATCCGGTTTCTTTTTTAGCCAACTAATATTGCGAAGATGGCCTTTTTGTGCAGTTGATCGTAGCTATGTTTCTGATAAGGTGAACGTCTCAACGCCATTTAGGTAAGTAGATGATTTTACAGTTTATTTTTTCTTGTTTCGTTTTATAATATTAAATTTCTAACATTGGACAATTGTTCCAGAGAAACATCCAGATATGGTATGGGAAGTGAGACCCCCATGCATCCTTCTCGAACTCCATTACATCCATATATGACTCCTATGAGAGATCCTGGAGGTATGCAGCGTTTGATCTAGCTTATCTCACTGCACCTTCTTGGTAGTTGATTGTAATAGTTCTAATTTTTTGTGTAGCTACACCTATTCATGATGGTATGAGGACGCCTATGCGTGACCGGGCATGGAATCCATATACACCAATGAGTCCACCAAGGTATGTTGTCTTAGTGGAGATGTAATTTTATATATACTTTTGTAAATTTAATTTACTAATTGAAGTGGATGTTTTGCACTCTGATTCCGATCTGATATTTTTATTTTTTCTTAATATAGAAAACAGATTTATGGTAAGTGCACTGCAAAATATCTCTTACGAAACATTAATTTCATGTTTTTAATTTTTAAATGCTTTTTCTATTCTGTAAATAAACTAAGAGAATACAGACAGCTAATTTCGACTCAAATATGATTTTGGAAACCATGACACTGCATGTATGCACAGATGTTTGTATTTGCTGTGGCATGTTTTATGTATAAAGAATACGTGTTCATGTGGATTTACATGTTGATTACCCTTGTCATTGATGTTATTATTCTTATGTTTTAAGAATTAGGGTCTGATAATTTGTAATTTTCATTAAATTACTACTATGACAAATTATCAGGGATAATTGGGAAGATGCGAATCCTGCTTCTTGGGGAACTAGTCCGCAGTATCAGGTTGTTTAAATTTCTCAAGTTTGTTCCTAACATAAGTTGGCCTGTATATACGTTCTAAGTGATGTTAATCTCTTGACCATTTTCAGCCTGGAAGTCCTCCTTCACGAGCTTATGAAGCACCTACTCCTGGTTCTGGTTGGACTAGCACTCCTGGGGGCAATTACAATGAAGCGGGCACTCCAAGGAATAATACTTCCGCCTATGGTATTTACTTATTTACAATTTTTCTTGAAGTTACATCTGCAAATAGTCACTTTCCAATCTAACAATAACCTTATTTCTTTCTTGCAGCAAATGCTCCAAGCCCGTACTTGCCTTCTACTCCTGGTGGACAACCTCCATTGACCCCAAGCTCTGCGTATTTACCTGGTACACCTGGAGGGCAACCAATGACTCCAGGGAGTGGTGGCCTGGACATGATGTCACCTGTTGTAGGTCTGTCTTCCTACCTTCATGAGATTATGGGGACTTCCTCATCTATGTATATCTACATTGTCATTGGAAATGTGTGTTTTGCAAGTTTATATTGTAGAAGGATTCATGATGCACGTGCTACATTGCAGGTGCTGACAGTGAAGGACCTTGGTTCTTGCCGGACATTTTAGTCAATATTCATAGGTCTGGTGAAGACAATGCTTTGGGAGTTATCAGAGAAGTGCTTCCGGTATTTATGTTTCTGATATCTGCTCTAGATATTACATTATTCTTTTGCTCGCTGTACGTTTCCTACCTTTAGATAATGTGTTATAGGTTTGAGAGCATTGCACCAACTTCCCCAGTATACTGGCAAAACCTCGTCAAATATTGACCTGTATGTGGTTGTTGAAATTGAATGGGAGCTGTCCTGTGAAACGAATAGATGTTGATAGGCTATATACATTGTAACGATAAAATTAGAAAGACTTTTGAAGTAGTTTGGATTGACTGCATGCGGGTTTCTGCTTCCCATGCCGTCATGTTTAGAACATGATCTACAATATGAAGTATGTTCAGTTATGAGTTCCTAGCAGTGCTTTTTGGTTTTTTTGAAATAGGAATATCTTGACTAACTGTGAATTTTGGAAGTTGTCTGGGAAGGTTGCTGGCTGGATAATGCGCTTTTGGTCTTGGACTTTAACTGCGGATTCTTTTTCCTTTTTTCACCAAAAGAAAGGAAATCGGGTCTTAAAATCTTATATGAGGAAAATGTCTTTTTGAGCAATTGAAGTCAATGTTAGCAGACTGATATGTCTTCGAAATAAATGCTTAGTGACTTCTTTTATGAGCTTTTAATCCATGTTCTTGTTTGTATATAGTGAAAACCAAAAGGTTATTGTTCTTGGAATGTTCAAGATCAATTGAGGAATCCCTCCCGGTCTATGTGAACTTTTGTTTAGTTGTATTGCTCTAAACCAAACAGCCTGTGTAAATTAAAACGGTGAAATGATTTTTGATGATCTCGGAGATTTTTGAGGTCAATTTTCTGATGGCATTATGTTTTTTATAGGATGGTTCATGTAGGGTTGCTCTAGGTTCAAGTGGGAATGGTGAAACAGTCACTGTCCTTCCCAGTGAACTCGAGATCGTTGTGCCGAGGAAGTCGGACAAAATTAAGATCATGGGTGGTGCGCAACGTGGGGCAACCGGGAAGCTTATTGGCATCGATGGTACTGACGGCATTGTTAAAGTGGATGATACGCTGGATGTGAAAATTCTAGACATGGTTATATTGGCCAAACTTGCTCAAACAGGATGATGAGCCATTGGTATACACCCCAGTTGATGCCCTCGCCTGACGCCAATGTATTTATGTTATTGTTTGAGTCATGACTTATGGTATACTATTGATACATCAAAGTTTCATCACTTTCGTGCTGCTCTCAACATGCTGTTCAACAAAACGTGCTAAGGCGTGGGGTTGAGGTAAGAAAAAAGGATAATGGCTTTTTCCTTCTGTTATAACAGATGTAAAAGAATGGAGAGAAATGACAAGGTACTATTAGAGCGATCGTTTTCGTTTTTCAGTTCTTATACTATATGTAAATGTATATTTTGTACAATTAGAAATGAATGGCCTCCAACAAAAATGACTGGTGGGAATTCAATTCACTGCAAAAGCACTTTTAGTTATAATGATATTCGTATTATAAATAATTATACAAATTTTGCCTCTGTATTATTGGTGCTTGTCTCCTTTGATATGAACAGAGCTTCATATGAAGTGAGAATGTTTCATGGTCGAAAATTATGATGTGATTAACTTGGCAACACATACTTAGACATTTTTAGTTGTCTTATTAGGTAACATCTTGCTTCAAAGATAGGAGTTGCTAAGAGTAATTCTTGAATTGTTGTCACTTGATCTGTTTGACAGGGAAGGATCTCAACTGATAGAAATTTGTCTTCCTGTGAATGCTTGATTTTAAATGACATTGTTGAG